CATTACCAATTCATATAGCAAAATAAAGAAGAGACATAGTTCTTTCACTTCCTATAGCAGAAATTCTTATTAAGAATACAGGAATTGGAAAACAAGTTTTGTGAAAATGCAATGTTCTTGAATTTTGCAGAAAACAGGCGTATTTGACTCAGTGCAGCAAAGAAATAAAAAATGAGCACAGCCCTCGATCCAAAAATGAAAACATGTTTTATGATCTTCAGAAACAGATCTTTCACTATGTTATTGCATATTTTGGATCAGAGGTTTTGCTCTATATGAAATATTGAAGAAATACTTCAACATTTGCCCATTTTCAAAGGAATTTAAAGGATATGGTAAAAATGACGCATTTCATGACGTCATAATGCATTGACTAGAGAGAAAATTACGGCATGTTCAGTAGAAACATTGGTCAATAAGGGTCCAAGTGATGAATACTGCATTGTCAGCCAAAACTGAGCAGTTCCGATTTTTCAGAAATTTACAGGGCCAAAAAGGGCCCTAAGTGGCCCTTGCTCTTTGAAATATAGGTATATATGTTATAAAGTTCTACAAGATGTTATGTGGAAATTCTTGAGAACACACGCATGTACATGTACTGAAGTTTGATTGGCTGAAACTTTAATTGCTTGTAACTTCCTTAGTTTTCTACAAAACAGGATGAAATTTAAAATATAAATAGATATAATGGGTTTCTACATTATGCTGCTATCAAAATTGAATATGAGAACAAGCATGTGTTGAAATCTGATTGGATTATATTATATAGGCTGTATATGTCTTACTTTACAATAAAATACTTTGAAATTTAAGACATGGATATGAATTATAAGGCACTATAAGTATAAATATATGAGAAATCTAGAAAATACATGACAGCTGTACATATACGTTGTTTCTTTTCCACTATTATTAGTTTTTTTTTTCTTACCGATTTTGTGCAGACGATTTCTCGTGAACGCATGGTTAGATTTTCATGAAACTTTTAGCAATGATGGAAAATCATCTGAAATTTATTATTTTTTTAAATTTGCCTTCGTCACTTCCGGTCGCGAGATACGGCCAATTTTTCATTTTTAAAGTGGCATTTTATCCGCAAGTGTTGTCAAAAACGGGTTTAGATTGAGTCTTGAAACTTTCAGGGATGATAGATTGTGACCCGTAGATGTGAGAAACCTGTTTAGGTTTTGTTGCCCTGACGTCCGTTGTTCACCGGGAGTAGTTTAAAAATATGCAAATTTCTCTTTTTCTCTTTTTGAAATGTTTATAATAGAGGCAACTAGACTGTTTCGAGTCATATTATTTCCATAGGAAGTCATTTTCTCCAAACCGGAAGTAGTCGAAAAAATGCTTATTTTTCCGCGAAACTTTGAGGGATGATTCCTCCACACTCTGTGAGGAGTTAAAATTCATTTGAAGTACTTCTGTTCATACCGCAAGTGAATGAAAAAGACCGAAATTGTTTGAAATTGATATATTTCACTCTTTAATGTGTTGCTAAACATATTTTGAAGAATTGATATGAATATTTTTTTTCATTCAAAGTTGTTTTACTTTCTTTTATCAATCAAAATTTCCCAATCAAGATCTTATCAGAAATCTAACGGAAGACCTACTTGTTGCTCGTAAGGAGATCTCATCTAGTTTTTCTTCTTCTTCCTGGTAATTTTTTTTTCCTGGAGTGATTTCGGAAACTACTCATCCGATTGAAGGGAAACCTTTTTAGGGTTAATAGGCATGTTATGAAGATGTGCGGAACGAAGGTCTTTTGCTTGCACGTGCTTGTGTGTGCAATGAGTAAAATTACCAATATACTTGATATGGCTGTAACTTATATATTTTTAGATGAAATGCCAAAATATATAGATATATTAGTTGTCTTTACAAGATGACATGGTCAAATTAGCATGAACTCACGCACATTTACGTGCGCTTTATTCTGATTGGCTGAAACAAATATATCAATGTCCTTTTTTAGACAAAGTACTCTGATATTTGGAACATAGGTTTATGTGATATGGTTCTACACTATGTTATATGTGGAAATTAAAAAAAAAAAACGAATATGCAAGTGAGTTGTACTTTGATTGGCTGAAAATTTAAATAGGTATCACTTCTTTAATTTTCAACAAAAGAGGATGACATTTAGAATATAGAAAGGTATAATGGATTCCTACTATATGCTACTATCATAATTAAATGTAAGGACATGCATACACGTATGCTGAAATCTGATTGGCTAATACTTTATAGGTTGCATTCTCTGTTTTTTCAAAGAAATACTTTGAAACTTAAAACATTGGTATATATTATAAGGCACTATAAGAATATATGTCTGAGAAATCGACAAAACACGTGCGAGTACGCATGCTGAAATCCGATTGCAAGTATTTTTATCTTTCTTAGTTTTTAACGAAAGAAGACGAAAATGTAAATAATACGTCCCTACATTATGAATTCATCATATATGAATACAAGGACATGCATTCGCTTGTACTGAATTCTGATTGGTTAATAATCAGGTTGCTGTAACTTTCAACATTTCCAGTGAAATTTAAAATGTAGCTCCTTATTATTGCATACTATGAGATGATGTTTTTGGAAATTTTAGAAATTTGTGCAAACAAGTGTATGAAATCTTATTGGCTTTATGCTTATTTTGCTATATGTGCATTGCATTTTCCCCAAAATACGTTGGAAACTAAGCTTTAAAAGTCTATAATACAAAGACTTTGTCTGATTTAATGAAGCTTATAAGGAATGAGACACCGAAAAGGAGTTGGGGAGCGGTTAGGGAACATCTGTAACGGTCTCCGTTACAATTAGAACTAGTTTTGATATGAAATTTTGTTTTATAAAATCATTAGTCTACTACCGTAAAGGCAAAAAGAATTCATAAAAAATATAAAACAGTCATTTATTGATCAACAGTAAGGTCACCTAATCGGAGAGACGTTAATATATAAAATAAAGAATGTCACATGATCAAACAAACCATTCACACAAAATACACAACAGAAACAAACCCAGCGAACGTGTTAGATTGGCAATGCGCGCCGATTATTTTCAAATTAAAAATGTAACATCTTTGACACCATGCTTCTTTTTTTTCGGGGGGGGGGGGGGTTAATTTAGTACCCAATGAGTACATTTATGCCCTCTTACTTTACCTTCACACAATGTGAACACTTAATATGTTGAAAATGTATTTCATTGACCAAATAATTATTGATCATCTATCCATACATGCAATCGGAACAGAAAAAAAAAAAAATATCTAACAAAAAATATTCCGACTACATGCAACTATCCAATTCACATTAAGAAGGCCAATACAAAAGATATAGCAAGATGCAATGAAAGTACTTCAAAACATAACCAATCAAAAGCATACTTCCTCTTCATACAATTGTCATATTTAAGTTAGCAAATTACTCTGAATCTGTCTTGACACAATTGACAGACAAACATGTAAATTTACACATATGAAAGTACATATCTATTACCAATATTCCATGTCAGTCAAGAAAAAGGAAATTTACAAGTTACATGTATGAAACTAACAATAATCAAATAATGGGCAAAGGCAGGGTCCATCAGGGAAGGAGAGTTGGAAAACAACGCTTTTGAATAAATTACTCTCTAAAATCTTAAACTTCTGTCAGGATTATGTTTCACAAAAGGCAAAGCTATATTTTAGCCAAACAAAATTAGGAATCTCTTAGGGGTAACGTACGGGCATTTGTTAAAAATAATTGATGCTCATCATCGGTAACAAGATATAATACGTACAGTTGTCAGCATGAAAGCATTTATTACATAAATTGCTTATCCGTGAACAACATTATACGAGGGTTGTTCGAAAAGTTCGTGGACGATGTCACTTTTCGTTATACTACTTTCAAGAAATTTAAAATAAGCTCATTATCATATGTAACAATATTTGTTTTGGTGATATGTGACGTTTCGTTTCATTCGATTTAATAAATATCAATTTACTTTATTATAACTCAACATGTTTGATAACCCCGGAGCACACTTAACAACATTATAACGTCAAAAATATAGCGTCATGATATATTAAAATATTCTCTCTATAGATTTCAGACAGACTAGTCCAATATCTGCTCATTAAAATTATGTCTCCATAAATTAAAATTTATTTTGCTAACAATTGTTCCAGTGGCATAATTTTGTTTGTCAATGTTTTTAACCGCTTAGCCATGCTTTCTCAAGATCAGTAACCGTGAAGTGCCTTTCTCTTTCCAAGACTTTACTAACTGAACTTTTTTGGTAAGATTTTTACAGATAAGCCGTTTTCTCAAGATCTTCCTCGTCTAGTCCAGAATCTATATCATTCAAATACCGCCTGTCCCATGCACTCACACACATTTATGACTTGCTTTTCAGATATTTCATGCTTCTTATTACATTTTTGAGATTTTATTCTGACGTTTTCCAGGATTACCTATCTTCAGAAATTGATTTCTTTTCCACGAAGCAAACTATTAGTTCATAATTTGGAATATGAAACGATGTAACAATTCTCAATTTGATCGTCTAGATTTTTTTTTTGGTTTTGAGCCATTTTAAAGGGGATATGACTACAAACATTAATTTGTGTATTGTTTGTAAATTACTAAACCTTGACTTGCTCCGCGAACCAATTTTCGCAGTTTTTAATTACTAATAAGTTCGAAATAAATCCTGATATTTTTATGATTTTTAATACAAATCATTTGATTTTACTGTTAAAATATTTCTACCAAATTTGAATATAATTTGACGTTAAAATAAGAAAAAGATAGGACAGAAGTCCACGAACTTCTCGAACAACCCTCGTATTTACATAGTTCAGGTGCAAACATCTTGTAGAACTCTTGTTCATGATATCTTTTCCGACTTAATAGATTTGAAATTTGAAATCTATTCATCAGAAAAAAAAAGAACTTACTGTCCAAATTCTTTTTTCTACCGAATACTTTTATTTTTATTTACAGATAACATTGCATTTGGAAAGAGTGCCTGGCAACAGCATCCATATGGGGAAATTTTGTTGTTTTCTTTTTCACGTCAAGATGTTCCTGATTGGAAGTCGGCTACATGGCGAAGATCACGATTTCCAGTTCGGTATTATTATAGTACGGAACATTGGAAAGCGTATAAAGCAGTGGATGGAGCATTTACAGACCTGTCTGCTAATGGTTATCAATGTACGGTATCGGAAAATGCAAAACAAACTGCAACTTTGTGGGTGGATCTAGGGAGAATACTCAGTATACGTTATATTACTATATACTATAGGACGGAGAATGAGGAATGGGGTACTGCATTTATTTAGCTTGGTATATTGACTATAAGAAATTAGGATGCTTCATATATTTATTTCAAGTGCATGCTATTATTATAAATATTTTTTTTTAAATTGAGACAGGCTACTGACAGATAAATGTTAGTTAGATTTGGAAAAAAAATTAAAAGTCCTCATTTCATAAATACTATGGTTGTCATAATAACCTTTTAGCAAAGTAACTTATCATGGGGTTCGTATTTGGACAATAATTCTCCACACTAATAGTTAGGCCATTCTTTTTTATACTAAATTGACTTTTCTCTTGTACAATAGCTGTAGGAATAGCTGTGGGAAATAGAGTTACCATTCTTGATTATAATCCTTGATACATATAATCACATTTGCGCATGAATCTATAAAATACTTCAAGATTTTTATTTTATTTAAAACATTTATTTTTTAAAACAAAATGCACAATTATGAACTTTAAAAAAATGTTAATACATGTAAAAATTTACGTCTGTCAATTAAGAAAATCGTTTTTAACTAAAACAATAAAGAGAATCAATATAGAAGCATCAGAAAAAAAAAGTTAAAGAACCCACCACACATTATCAATGGCTTATTTTTTTTAAACAGATTTCTCTAATCAGTATACAAAACGATTTCTTGGATTCTCGGTTCATATATCAAACTCAACCAATAGAGAGGATGGGATTCTTTGTTTTAAGGACACAAATTACACAAGAGCTACAATACCAAACCCTGCTAAAATAGAATGCTTAAAATATGGACGATATGTGATATATTACAATGAGAGAATCCAGGGAGTTACATACCCTGACGGATATTCCAAGTACGCATTCAACGAGCTCTGTGAACTTCAAGTTTACGGTAAGAGGGCAAAGCATATTATTGATATACATGTATAATGACAAATTTATCTTGCTTTCATAAAACACTACATAACAGTCATGTATTAAACTTTGCAGAAAAAGCGAGTTGTTAAATTTTTTCCAGAAAAATTAAACGTTGAACATCCAACGTAAAACAATCTGCATTTAGTATATCTTGTAATTTTTTATCATTGCTTAAAAAAAATCTGCTTTAACATTGTACATCATTTTCTTTTTAAAAGTCCTTGATGATATTAAGCCACTTTCACAAAAACTCCCAGAAAATTGCGGATCATTTCAAAATCAATCTTATCCGGAAATCTTTAAAATAATACTGATATGTTCGTCACATGTGTTGTTCGAGGAAAAATTTTACCAGCATGCCCTGATATATTTCGATTTATATGCATATTTCAGAAATTTAGAGTTGACACCATTTTCATAAAAAAACTTTTTAATGAATCTTCTGTGTTGCGCCTTTTTACTCTTTAATATTGGAATTTTAAAATAGCAGGAAAATATAACGGTACATGAAATTTTGAATAGAAAGATCACTAAGAGGTCTTGTTTATTGTCTATTGCTTTTAATTACGCGAAATCCATGTAGATTCGTGAAATCTTACATCATTAAACTATTCCTAATTCTGTTTCTTAATCTAAGATTTGTTCGATTAATATCATGATATTTGTAGAACTAAACATTTTTATTAGCACTATGTGATCTACGCTGCGTATTCTAAGCTCACGAAATTCATATGAGTTTTACATGGCAAACAAAATTAGTACGAAAATTTGAGATGTTTATTTGGCCCTTTGTGGATTTCTGTTAAGTTTCAAATAAATAATATAAATAAATAAATAAACAAACAAAAAATAAATAAATAAAAATAAATGAATGAATGAATAAATAAATAAATAAAATGAAATGTTCTCTTCAAGCGGACATTAAATGAAAATCTTGTAGGTTTAATATTTCTACAAGAAGAATAAATAATCTTGCATTAAGCTAATGATTCTTATTATGAAAATTGCTATGTAGGTTCTTATTTATTAATTGATGTTTAACAAGGATGTCCTACCTCGGGAGTTTTTGGAGAAAACTGTAATGTTCCCTGTCCACAGAATTGTCAGGAGGGGCATTGTAACATCGTGGATGGAACGTGTCTTGGATGTGTTGCTGGTTACAAAGGTTCCCGATGTGAAGAAGGTACGTATTTAAAAACCATTTGGTCTTTCCACGGGTTCGTGTTTTGCCCTGTTATAGATTTTTTTTCTATTTATAGATTCATGAGATTGCTTCAATAAAAAAGCCATAAAAATATTCACCTTTATACTTACGTTAGTTCTATACGAAGTAAAGTAAAAATGAAAACCATATGATTGCTAAAAAGATCAAGCACTTTCAGTCATCTAATAAATGCATGTCCTTACTTATTTTCTAGTATTACAAACTTTCTTCTGCTCGGGTATGTTAAGGCTACACCCAGATATTTTACTTGCCTATACAATATGGCTTCATAGTAAGTTGTATAACGTGAACTTTAGATATAATGATTTCTTCATATCTGTATTTAAAGTTTAATTTCAAGTCCAAGAAATAAAAGAAAACATTCAAAAACATACTAAAAACTAAATCTTGTCGTCATGGGGTGGTATAAATAGCTAAGTATTTATCGCAGGGGTTAAATGCCAATTCCATGACGTCATAACTATTGATCGAATATTTGCCAAGTGAAAATTAAATGTGACGAGAATTCATGTAAACAAACATATGAAATGAGAGTTTTAAAGCATAAACCGTGATTGTCATGTGTGATTCACAAGGAATTGTAAATTAAGATTCAGGTACGCTAATTTATTCTCGTCATATTTTCTTATAATGATAACAGGCAGTGTTTTGAAATTCCGATCAGCCTTTCCTCCGTCCTTCTATAACAACAAAAATGCAATTTTTAAAGTTCAACACTACGCTGCATACTTTAAAGCATAATTGTTGTTTGTATCGAAAGCTTGTGTTCTATAGTACTTGGAAAGCGCTGCTAGAATCGTGTGATTAACATGAATTGGTGACAATTCCTTGATCGTATGTACAGAATGCAAAAAAAAAAAAAAAAAAAAAAAAGTGGTAAGGTTTCATGCGAAACTTTGGAATTTTTTTTTTCTGTGTCGGGAAAGTAGGATTCTAGCAGCACTTTCATTACTTTGCAATGTTTTTTACATAATTATTTTCACAAAAATAAATGAATTATTCCCGGGGTAGTGTTGAACTTTTCACTTTTTCATTAAGACAATTTTTCTATTTATAGACGTCAGGTGATGACGTTGTAGTTGAGGGCTTCTTTTAGCCTAAATAATTAAACTATAGGATTGTTTATAGATCAAAAACTTATAGTCATGCATTAATTCTATGCTGCTATTTAATTAATGCATACTTTCTTCTTTTGGGAAACAAATCCTTCCCTCACAGTGGATTTTTTTTTTAATTTCGAACGTAGAATCGCTACCAAAGTTAATAGTTAAAAAAATTCAAGTTATCATTATTTATGTAAAGATTTCAATGAAGCATTGAATCATTATTTTTCGAAAGATGTTATCTCATAACTGCAACAGTGTATGCAAACAAATTGAGTAACGCGCGTTAGCTAAATGTATATATTTACATTTTTAACTCTTTCCCTGTCTGCAAACGTGATTTGTATTTCAAAATCCCTGAATTATCCTTCGGATAAATTTCAATCAATTGATGATTGGTTGCAAGAACTACAACAGTTTACTTCTTTAATTGTAGCTTGAAATGTGTACGGCGTTCAACTTTTGTGACATAAAAATAAAAATCATTACTTAACCTTTTGAACTCCCTGCCGTGTTTTTTTTTTTGTTTTTTTGTTTTGAATACCGCAGCTTTCCAAACACTTTATGAGCAAAATTCATGTGGAATGTAAATAATCATTACTTGAAATAAAATCATTACTTAACCTTTTGAACTCCCTGCCGTGTTTTGTTGTTTTGAATACTGCAGCTTTCCAAACACTTTATGAGCAAGATACACGAGGAATGTAAATAATTTTCAATTGCAGAATATTTTTATATAATTTTCAGAATGCGGTAATGGTACGTATGGCCTTGAGTGTAACATGACCTGTGGTAACTGTAGTAACGGAGTACAATGTGATCATGTGAACGGAAGTTGTCTAAATGAAGTTGAAGAAAATACATGTAGATATGAAGAAAGTAGGTATTGTTTATACGATTGAATTTAAAACATTAAATTTAAACAAAATAATCATCAAAGAACATTTTGAAATGAGAAGTTAAATTTTCAAAAGCACGATTGTTGGAGTGAAATATACATGTAGTTATCAATTAAATGCTGATATATGAAACGTCTCTCATGTTTCAAAGGTAATAAAATATGTTATTATAATCACATTTCATTATTATGTAATTAAGTTGTTTTCATCGACTATGAATCAATAATTCAAATATTTGATTAATTTCGAATTCTTCAATCTATAATTTTTCATATATACAAGAGAAAAAGAGTAACAATCCAATCTCTTGAAATAAATATACTCAAGCTTGACCTTTGTGTCATTTCAAACTTACAATACATTTATAGTCATACAATTAAATGCTTCACATAGTTCTATATTTCACTGTGAAATCACAAGTTTTCGTGGGGGTCACATTTGTGTCATTTTCGAGGTACTATAGTACTAAGGCACAACAGATTTATGCACACCACGAAATGTAAAATGTCATATAATATAAGTAATCAACACTTCTTCATCCATGAAATCAAAACCCTACGAACCCATACTTTTTTCAAACCACGGAAATTTGACCATAAGCAAATATGTGATTTTACAGAATTTTCTTTATTATTTCGATTTGTGCAATGAAATAAGGCATGAATATTCTAACAAAATAACCTTTCTATAGGCATAGTAATGTTTGACTTCCATTTCTGTTAGTGTATAAACATGACCTCTCAAATTAATTGCGCCAGTATTTAGACAAATATGGACATCTTAGTAGAATGTATGAATTAAATATCTTCGCTTAAGCACTTATGTAATCAACGGTAAAATACCGTATATCCGGTTTTTTTTCGCGATGATCTAATTTTCGCATTTTTCGCGATCATTTTTATTCGCAAAAAATAAAACACGCAGAAATTATATCGGTTAATGTGTGCCATAAAAACGTTACAATTTTTTTTTAAATCGCAAAAAATATTTACGCAAAAAAAAAACTACAAATATACCCCTTTGTAGCAAAATTTGCAACACGCGAAAAAACCGGATATACGGTAGGCCCTATATATAGATAAAGGTCCTTTTAACAAATACAATATAAAATGATGTAAAATATCGATTTCTAGTTTTAAAGAATAATGAAGAAGTCTGAACAAAAACTATGATAGCTTACTGATTTTGCTTTGAAATATATTTTGTCTTATAAAAAACATTAGCTATGACACAGAGATATCGGGTAGTTCGAATTTTGAATATGATAATAAACTTTAATAGCGTTGTTCCTTTTTTCTACGTTTATTATAAATATGAATTGATATAAACATGCATGTATTTTAATTCATTTGATATTTACCTTTGACGAAGAACAAGAACATCATGAAAGGGACAAAATATTAAACCCATAAATAAATGTATGAGCAGTTGAATTTTCTGATTTCTATGTTAACTTTATTAAGCCTTAGCATGTGCTGGAAATTAAAATGCTTTTTATTCTTTGACTTCTCATTCAGTACATTTTGTTAAAAAATATATATTGTTTTAAACCTTTACTGCTGCAATAATTGATATAACTGACAGCATATTACATGTTCCCTTGGATTACAAGTCAAACTCTCATTGCTTTAAACGTGCGCGTGACTGTCATACATGTATATACATGTACATGTAGTTCTCGATCTGTCTGCGAGGTACATACGGGGTTTTAACAGACGCAATGCTTAATCAATAATCGATATGAGATATATATCACTTTCTGTAATATTTCATTTTTACATAAATGATCGTTCAATCGAGAAAAGAAAACTTTGAAGTTTAACAGTAACAAAACATTAAAAGTAAAAAAGTCTTCAAGATCATTTAAGATTAATTGACGGTAAAAGGTGCGATTGAGAATTTTTAATAGTTAAACTGTTGGAATCGGGTAAAATGATGAGATGTTTGGGCACATAACAGAGTTCGATGATCGTCTTGTTACTTCGTCCCACACACATGGATGATCGAGAAAAAATCCTTCATGAGTTTTGTTACTGACTGTATACTAAAATAGTTCGAGTTGATCCTCCTCAGAGATATTAGAAAGATCAACCCGATATATCTCTGCAGGTAGTCAGTTAAAAACCTATAGGTAAGAATAAAAACTTCTTGGGTGTTGAGAGAAAAAAAAGCCAAATAATATATTTAAAAAAAAGAAAGAAAAAAAAAAAAACAAAGAAACAAATAGACAAAAAAAAAAACTCTACACCGGTTATCTTGATAAACAAAGAAGAGGGAACGCATTCACCGTAGACGGAAGAACATGTAACTTCATCATTCTTCATTTACGTAAGTATCACTTTTCCACCTATTCTCTTCTCTTATAGTATATAAGTAAGCTTAACATGTATTAACGGTGCAAGTTTATGCAAATTATTATATTGAAAGGCCTCTCATTTCCGGCATTTGGAACATTTCCCTCCAAACATCCCTCCAAGAAACTTTTTTCTAGAGTATACTGAAGACACTGATGACAAAACCTAGGATGTTTCAAATGTGTACATAAAAGAAGATGAAGAACTATTATAATAGCTATTTGCAAATCGCTTCTAAATATGAATAGGGCGTCACTTAACGTATATAATTGCATATGATTATATATTAAGTCTGCACTCCCATACAGTGTCACTTATTTCATGGCAGTTAATCATTTAATTATGAGGGACTTGTATTAAATTTTGAAACACAGTGCTTCAAGATATACTTACATTTAATGTTATACATTTCCAAAAGAAAAGAAAAATTAACTTCCTCGAATGATAACGTTATGTGTACTTCACTAGAAGAAATCATTTAACAATATTTCTCATTTTTTTTTGTTTTGTTTTGTTTTGTTTTTGTTTTTGTTTTTTTTTTTTCACTTTTGGAAAGTATTTGAAAGAACGAACTTATATCAGATAATTCACACATTCATGAA